ATTTTTATTACATATTAAGTTAAGACTCAAACAGCACCTCGATTTATATATTTTTTAAAATTACAAAAAGTGAAATAAATAATTATAAAAATATATAAAAGTGAAATAACTAATTATAAAAATGAAATTACTTATATAAAAGTGAAAAGTAAAAAGTAAAATTTTGAAAAAGTGAAAATGAAAAAGTGAAAAAATAAAAAGTGAAATAACTAAAAGTGAAAATATATATATATAAATTAAAATTAAAAAGTAAAAATTGAAAAAGTAAAATAATAAAAGTAAAAAAATGAAATGTGAAATAATAAAAGTGAAATTATATATGTAAAAGTGAAAAATAAAAAGTAAAATAATTAAAAAGTGAAAAATAAAAGTGAAATTTCTAAAAAGTGAAAAATAAAAAGTGAAAAATAAAAAATGAAATAATAAAAAGTGAAATAATACTAAGAAATTTTGTTATTATTTGAATATTCTTGGAATTTTTATATTTTTTGATTATTTTTGAATTTGTGACTTTTATATTACTATTATAATAGTATAATCAAAAAGAAAGAATATATAAGCTACAAATATAGTGTATTTATTTAAGAAAACTTGAAACTGAATTAAAAAAAGAATTAATAATAAACAAAATATCTAAAAAAAGATAAATATCTAAGTTTTATATTAATTTCTATAAAGATATAGGAGAATAAAGATCAAAGAAAAAAAAGAGAAAATATAAATAATAAAAGAATAAATAATAATGAGTTTTGAGATACTAATTCTCTATAATAGTATAAAGCTTTTTAAAGCTAAGATAATATTGAATATTTTGTATTTTTAATTATTTTTGGAATTAGCAGTTTTTATGTTATTATTGTAATAATGTAATTCAAACTGATTCTTCTAAATTAAGAGAATTATTAAACAGTATTACATGTATAATAATATAATATTAGCCCTGAATTTAATTTTTGATCTTGAATCTAATTTACTATATTTTATTACATGTTTTATACTACTAAATTTTATAGGTTAGAATCAGAACCAGAATAAAACTACAATCAGTACAAAAAAGTAATGACAAACAAATTTTTAAAAATAAAAAAAATTTAAATAATAAAACACAAAAAAAAATTATTTCTAAAATGTGATTAAATAAAACAATATGTTTATATAAAATATTAATATTAATTATTTTCTTCTTCCTTGTCAATACAGACTTAAACAATATTAGCGGTATGCTAGATTTTGTTCAAGATCAGTTTCTTGAAAAAATTTATTTATTCATTCTTCACTAATGCAATAAAGTCTCCTGTAACACTAAATTTTTTTGAGCAACAATTTTTTTATCTTTTTTTCAATATTCTATTTAAAAATTAGCAAATATTTTCAATCAGATTAAGATCAGGACTATATGACAGTCACAGAAGAATATGTCCCAGTAGCTGAACTTTGAGCTCATTCTTTATATTATTTAAGTGATGCTTCAGATTATTGTCCTGCTGGAAAATTCAATACCAATGACTATATATGTTTGTTGTATTATCATATAGAATTTTGCAGTACAGATACTGATCCATGTTTTGTGTAAATGTACACATCCCAACTTTTTCACATGTACAAATCACTTTTTATATATGGAGTTTGAACATACGTGTATTTTACTATTGGTGCAATAATTTTTTTATATGACCATGCCAAACAAGTGTTTTGGGATAATTGCAAAATTGTTTATCAGAAAATATAATCTTGCACCAGTTATAATCAAGAGGATTGTTTGTTCATTGAAATCAGTCTTCTTTGGCTTGAGAGATAAGAAGAAAAATGTGTCTTGGCAAGAAAGTAATATATAAACCTACTTCTAATTCTGGATGCGTTACTTTGAGCCACGCTTTGATTTCAACTGCCATAAGAAAATAATTCAAATTTACGATTTGATCGATGTGATGGCGCATAGCAGACGAAATTTTATATCCAGTTTTACGAAGTGAAGCCACGTAATATTTACAAGACTACCGGTTTTTGCGAAATTTCTCTAGCATTATGCCAGCTATTTTGCCAAAATCTCTATGGTTCATAATTGAATTTTACGGGATTGTCAAACATTTTTAAGAATGATGTGCAAAATGTGAAAAATGTTTCACATGTTGCACAAGATCAATCGCTTTCTGGCAGGTGCTATCTGACAAATTCAGCAGTCAGTATTACCACCATTACTTTTCATGCTGATTGTAAGCTCATACGTAAAATCATCTTTCCCAATATTTTTAGTTAATGTCTCCTATATTTCATTTTTTTCACATGTCGGATTTGAATGTCGGTTGATGGCTTGCATTACATGTAATATCCATTTCGGGGATCGGTTAAAGCGTAGTTCATCCGATAATCTGTCCGAAAAACAAACCAATGAGGATGCGTGAATTTTTAATCATCCGGCAAATCAAATTTTAAGCAAAGACAAAAAATGAAAAAATACGAAAAACAGGTGCTTAAATCTTTATTGAAGCACTAATTATAAATGTCGGGAAGGCAATTTTAAATATAGTCTTGATCTTCTTCCCAACCCCAACCCTAATGTTAAAATTACTTTTTAATATTTTTAAGATATATCACTTGATGGACTACGTCTCCATTTCGGATGACTTAAACCACTGTCCCTTGGTTACGTACTTTGTATTATTGGCACAAATAAATTACTAACTCTAAATCCATTAACGTTAATTTGAATTTCTGTACAAAGATACAGCTACGTCATTTTGGAATTCTGAAACGACGCACGTCAATTATGAAACTAACAATATTAATATTGTATTTACCGGAACAAAGTCACCGGACACTTTTTTCATGAAATAATAGTGAAGAAACTAATGAAAAAACTTGCATTAATGTTCTAAGCATATAGATTCGACATATTCGGAATATGTTATACTAGAATTTTAATCATTTATCAAAAAATTATAACTAAAATATATTACGAGCGTGCTCAAAGTCTAAATGTAAAGGTCAAAATAAATGATTTCATTCGGGATTTCTCAGGGAACTATTAATTCGTCGAAGAATTCCAATTGCTCGTTCTTCTTCATTACCGAACATATAATATTTCAAAAAAAGCAATATTTGCACAAAAAAGTATTTTTTTATGATAGCGCAAAAATTATACTCTATATTCTAAGCTTGTAGTTTTAAAATAATGTGAATATGTTATACTAAAATTTTAAGTACTGTCTAAAAAGTTATAACAAAAATACAAATGAAAAAACTCATGTAGATGTTAGATGTTCCAAGTTTATAAATTCAAAATATTCTAAAATGTGCAATATTAAACTTTCAAGTTTTTTTTTCAATTAAAATATTATACTTAAAAAACTTTTATAATTAATAAACTCCGCATGTTCTGAAGTATGTTATACTACAATTTCAAGTTTTTTTAATTATAATTAATAAGGGTATTGACATTTATCAGACGATTTCAAAGTTATAGTGAAAATACTTTAACAAAAAAAAGTATACTATTTTACTAGGACATTTCAATTTTACGTATTTAGAACATCAATCCAAGTTTTTTTATTAATTTCCACACGATTGTCTCACAACAAAGTGAGCAGTGACTTTGTTCCGCTGAGTGTATTTGAGTTAGTGTTTGAATACAGGTTTTTTCCATTCAAGCTATTATGCTTCAACATTCTTTAAATCAGCTGCAATTTTTAAAATTCAATATTCAATTGCATGCATGCAGACTACATTATAGAGCACTTTATTAATCAATTTAAAATACATGTATATGCAACTAATTTTTTCTCGGTTAATATATGGAATAGTATGTATTGAATAATCTTTAAATACATATCTCAGCAAATTTTTTATTATTATTTTGTTTTTAAGATTATTCAGTAAAACAAGATTCATCAACTGATATTTTTTATCATGCGGCTTTAAGTGCATTATTGTTAAGCAATAATCAAGTTGTCCAAAATGTGAAAGACTTGAAGTAATAATGAAGACTATTATAATATTATTTAATATTGGACTTGTTAAACACAGAGGTTAAGTACCAACAATTTTGCACATAATTACCCATTCATGTAGAGTATCGTCGAAATAAAATCTATAGTCAAAACTTGTTATCGTGAAATGGTTTTTTTGAAGTTTTTTCTAATAGTTAATTTTATATTTTGTTTCATGATTATTTTTTTTCGTTAAATGCGTGCGAACTTCATTATATCGCATGTTCTCTATATAAGTTTAACTGTATGTGAAATTTAGTATGAAAACCGAATTTGATTTTTGGTGGCTGGATGAATGATTTATCGACAAGATTATATTAGATAAATCAATAGAGAATCCTTTTCTAATGGGTACGTTATTTGTTTCTGGATGTTAATCGATTGCCCGAGTGGAATCGGCAAGCGTATTTTTCTTATAAGCATAAATACCAATTTAATAATTTTTTATTTTTCAAGTATAATTACGTATCACTTTGAAATAATTTTTATCGTTATCAATTTTTTATTTTTCAAGTGTAATTACGTATCACTTTGAAATAATTGTTATCGTTATCATGATTTTGTCAAGTGTTAAAGGTTATGATTTCCCTTTGATCTCATGAAGTTACATTAGAATACATATATTGTACATGTATATACATACGTAACGCAGTGTTGTCACTTGGACGTAAATCCAGCAATTTGATTGGTTGGGACAAGTGTCCTGACCAATCAAATTGCTGGATTTACGTCCAAGTGACAACACTGCATACCGATACGTATATAGAATTTTTGCGGGAATGCAATTTATCGTTATAAGAACCACATGAAGAATAAAAATATATGTATCACCGTCACGATCAGATTTTTCGGTTTAATACGGTTAGCTCGAGAATAAAGTTCCAATTTCTGATTGGCTGGTAGACGTATTATTCTGTGAAATGTCGCACATTATCGTTATCGTTATCATTATCATTATCATTACCGTTACGATTGATTAAATGCTATCGCTATCTCATTTTCATTGTGATAAACATGGAAAACACATTCGAAATTACTGTTCAAGTCAATAATGATACTCGAGTCGTCACTAAACTTCCTACAGCTGTAAATCTTACAGAAATACGTAAAATACTTTCGGAAAAATCAGAAATAAGAATGGGACGTAAAGCTTATTTTTGTCAAGCTATTGAAGATTCTCCAATAATCCCGCATGACGAGGAAGAAAAATATTTTCTGGAAAATGTTATCGACTCTCTCAAAAGATTGAAACTCAAGGGTGAAATCGAACCAAATTGGGCAGACATTATCGAAAGGAATTCGCTTAAATGTGGACTATTTTTTACGAAGAATGGACCGAAATCTGCAGAAAAAAAAGCGTTTGAAATTCTACAATATCCGAAGTCTACGTTGCAAATACCAATTACTTCGGATCAAGAATTAAATTGTAGAACGGAAATAGACGATATTCGTGCAAAAAATTTATTTGTTACAACAAGTCTAGATGCAAACTTGCCATAGTAAGAGAGTATAGATTCATTCAGGTTTTATTTGATAATTACTTTTTGTTTATCCGTATTTATTTTTCAGTACACCAATTTCTGCGATGCTTGGTGGTTCTTACCAGTCGAATTCTGTCAATCATAGCAATAACGTAAACATAAAAACATACCAGAAATCAATAAGAATAAAAGCAATATTCTCAATGTCCGAATCGCAAATTGAACCAACTAAAGAATTTGTTTCAGCAGTAGATGTAGCACTTGTATCAACAAATCGTCGTGAATCTCTAGAACAAGTCACAAAAGATTTCGGAAAAGTTTGGTGTAAAAAATTAGGAATTGGCGGAAGCATTTTATATGTTTTAAAAGGAGAATCAATTGTAAATGAAAGTAGAATGTGCGATGAAATAAATATAGGAGGAGGTTTCGGCATCGGAGGAACAGCTGGGAAAGGCACAGAAACAAATCAGATGAATGCATTAACTAGCGAATACTCCTATTTTCAAATTCGTGGTGGCTTGGAAAACTATTTTCATGAACAAGGAATGAGTGGTGTGTAAGCCTATATTTATCAAAGTATCATATGATTTGTACTTATTCTTTATATATTATTTATAGGATGGATCAAGTCTTTAGATGATTATAAAACATGGGAGGTAGTCACCTATTCTGATATTCATTCAATATTTGATATACTTGATGAAGGAAGAAGAACAAAAGTAGCAACGGCTTTGGGAAAACGAATTATTGATTCTCAAGTTGAAAAATTAGACTTTAGAATGGATATTTCTAAACCGTACCCACACTTATACAAAATTCCGAAAAAATATGATTTATCGAATTGCCAGATTTTTGTTACAGAAATGAAAGATGACAACTCGGATACGATATTTGCTTCTCGAGTTCATTATATCAACGATAAAGAATCACCAGTAATTTTATTACATAGACTCGGTACATTGAATAAAAAATTAAAATATCAAAAATTTTCAATAAGGTTAGGTTGGATTGTACTTGGAACATCGACCATGCTGAATTTGCTTGAACAAAATTCAACGGAGCCAGTTTTTGAAAATGGTGAATCACTAATCACAGTGAAAAATGAACATTGTTCAGCGATTATTTCTTCGCGTAAACTGAATCCGAACGAAAGTCTTTTGGCTTCTTATGTTTCAAGGTCTAAAAATTTGCAAGAAAATCATCAGAAATCAAAGTATATTACGAGATCTCATTTTATTTATAACGATAAAAATGATACTATTGAGGCTTGTGCTTTTTGTTATGACCTAGAAAAAAGTAAGTATTCTAATTAATCTATGATTGATATTAATATTCAGAGCGCATCATAATATTTTACGTTTATTTAAAAGAACAACTACTTTATCAATTGGGTGATTTAAATACAGAGTTTTCGATCAATCACAGGTAAATAATATTTGATATTTTTTCTTTAAACTGGACTGGTTAATCACAATTTCATCCTTTTATTCAGTATAATTTTCGGGCAACAAATTGATAAATACGGCCAAGCACAAATAACGAGTGAATCTCGCATTACTCTTATCCAACCAAAACGATATAGAATTCTGTTTGACAGTTATCGTGACTTGACATCTCAACTTGGAACACAATCGTGTTTACAGAGCCCTATTTTTATCAATCTAGTCTTGGATAAATGTCCAAAAAATTGCCCACATGGAGTATTTAATATTACACCAAATTACGCGGAGTTTAAGTATATTGACATTGACTTTTTCAACATGAGTTTGAAAAATAGGCAAATCGCGTATTTTCGTGCTCCAATTCGTATTAAAGATAACGACGACGACGGTAGGAGTGACGCTATGAGTCTATAAAGGTTGTACCGATCGATTTTATCAACCATTTATATATTAAGCTCTTTTCAATTAAGTAAAAGCTTTGGCTTAAAGTTTTAGCCAATGTACGTTGTTTAATTGAAAAACATCCAAGCATCTTGAATCGGTTTCGATAAAGGTGCATATCATTATAGGGTTAATGCGGGCTTAGATTGGATGTATCGATATATCGATATGCGTGTTAACTGCCGTAATCTTATAAAGTTAAACAAAATTAGCCGCCGGAACGCCATGAACTCTTAGCATTTGAAAATCGCCGTGAAAAGGCATAAAATATCGTGGCTTAACTAAAGTTAACATTAATTTCAAATCCTCTTGACAAGCGTACCCTGAAGCGTGGAGTAATCCCTCTTTACTGTTTTCATAAATAGAGGCTCCCAATTCCAATAATTTATTTATTGTTAACGTTAATGTGTGTATACCGATACATATTGATATACCTTAAGTCAACATTTTAATAGATGTTTTCGTATTTCATAATCTATAAAGCCTACTATCGCTATCTAATAAATTCTGAATTATAATTGAAATTTATACATGTAGCACTTGTTAAATTTTACTTACGCAACTTTATATTGATGATAGAATTTTTAAATTGGAGTAAATAAAGTCTTTTTAAACTACTGTACTGTAATCGTGTAGAAAATTTGCATGTACATGTATAACAAAATGGTTTGTAATCATTCACAATACATGTACTACATGTAATACAGGGCAGAATGCAACACAAAGTTAATCATTAATGTTAACGTTAACGGCATCATTCTTCACCGGTCATCCGATTTACATATTGAACATAACGATAATAAGTTATATAGTACGGTATATATAATATTTTATATGAATAAATTCTTTTTATTCGCGACCTGACTTGATTCTTATAGAGAGACGCATCTGTATAGGATTCTCGCGAAGGTTTCATACAATATTTCATGCAGACTAAATTTTTTTTAACTTAAACTACTTGACATACTCACTACTAATGGCAGTGTTTTTAAAAAACTTACTTCTGAAATACGTCTGAATAGCATTATATTCTCAAAAAATCAAGACATAGAGTATCATCCTTCTATGTCAGTTCAAGCATGAAGGCAGGTTGAACTGCTAAAAACTTTTGTCTTCGTAATACATGTACATGTATATATTTTTCCTGCTGTATACCAAATGCAAAATTTTAAATGAAGATTTTTCTGAAGACAATCAATCACTAAAATTATATTGCTATCTAGACTAGATTAAATTTTATTAAACTAAGAATTCCTGCACATGAATATTTTAGTAACTACTTAAATAAATACAAATATCCATGAAAGCTAATACATATATAACAATCATTCTAAAACTTCTCCTAATTGGCTCCAAATATCAATTTCTGAATCATTTTTAAGATTTAATATAGACCATCGAATTGTAATAATGAAGTCCTCGTCTTCACCATTCTCTTCATCTTCCATCTCCTCTTCATCTTCCATCTCCTCTTCATCTTCCATCTCCTCTTCATCTTCCTTCTCCTCTTCATCAATCAACATAGCATTCGCTTCATCTTCCTTCTCCTCTTCATCAATCAGCATAGCTTCCTCCTCATCTTCCTCTTTCATTAATTTGATTTGCATTTCAATAGATCCACTTTCTTGCCATTTTACAATATTCGTTTTAAAGAATAAGAAAGTTGGAAACGGAGCGTACTCGATATCGAGCATGACAATATTTTTTTGAAAAAGTGATTTTCCCACATCAATTTTTATAGATTCAGAGTCGTATATAAAGTTTAATTCTTTAACTCCAAGATTAACTGGTATATCACGAGTATTAGAATCGAAATATCCGATTTCACTTGGGCAACCGATTAACATCCACCGAAGAGAATAAGGTCTTCTTGCACTTCTTTAAGAAAGCTTTTAATATCTCGAAAATTAAAATAATAGATTTAATAAAAATATTTATGCTCTACCTCTCTGCTTGAACGTGATCCTGTCGAAAATCATGCCAGCTCACTGAAAATCCAAATTCGGTTTTCATGTTAAACTTCACATGTACATTTTCAATCTTCTCTCCATGGCGAGTCAACACATTACCAAATAATTGATAATTATCACTTTCCAATTGACTATCGTATTCAATTCGCTGATACCCAGAACTATAATCCAAAAATTGTGTCGTTTCGAACATTAAAACAAAATTATCATTTATAAAAAGATTTTCAATTTCACGTTGTTGACTTATATCGAGAATTTTGTATAATGGTACAACAATGCGCTTTATAATAGACCACTCAGATATTCGATTTGATACAATATCAAGCCATTTACGAATTTGGCTAATTAAAAGAAAACATATCGATATAATTAGCATATATTATAGAATATAATATAATCACCAAGGATTTAAATACCTTAGTTCAATCGGATAACCGTCCATCCCTATCATATAAGAGGAATCAAACGGTTGAACTAATTCTCTCCATTTTTTAAAAAAAGGGTCTTAAAAGATTTTAAATTAGTTTTATGAAAATATTTATTGAATAAAAATAATAAACATACCTATTTCAAAAATGTCATCAAATTCCTTTGAATAATCTAAGGATTCAGTATTTTCTTTCAGAACAATCCTTTGCAGTTTATTTCCAAATATTAATTTTGTATGAAAATAATGCCCAAACTCTTGAAATACAAGCTTTAAATTTTTAATTGGTGTATTTGATTTTAAGGCTTTTTGAATTGCTAAATGTAAATTTTCAGTTGGCTTTAAATCTTGAAAATCAAAAACGATCGATAGTTGTTCACTTAAGATTTCAAAATAAATATTGCTTGTCTTTAATTCATCGAATATTTCATGACTGACGAATGCTTCCTGAATAGAATTCTGTTCCTTCGTTATTTCTTGTGATAACGAGATTCCTTGCGATAATAAAAACAACTCAGAATCCGTTGTAGTGCGTTTCAATAAAGAACTTTTTCCGGCAGCAATTTCAACAAAAGGTATAAAATATTTTTTGATTGCTGGCAGAGAAGGTTGTGTAAAGTGAAATTTTTGATTTTTTATTCCATGAAAGAGTTTGATTTGTTCGTTTTGAATATTTATTAATGATTTGTAGAATTTATCTAAAATAAATTGTGATTGAGCATCTCCATCCTCGGAAGATTGCAAATACCACCTGAATGCCTTTATCTCATCTTTTTGAACTCCAATGCCATTTAGATAACAGCGACCAATATTATATTGCCCAATAGCATTTCCACCCTCTGCTGATTTCAAATACCATTCAAATGCTTTTATCTCATCTTTTTGTACGCCAACGCCATTTTCATAGCAAATACCAAGATTAAATTGTCCTCCAGCATCCCCACTGTCTGCTGATTTCAAATACCATTCAAATGCTTTTTTCTCATCTTTTTGTACGCCAACACCAGTTTGATAGCAAAAACCAAGATTACATTGCCCAATAGCATTTCCACCCTCTGCTGATTTCAAATACCATTCAAATGCTTTTTTCTCATCATTTTGTACGCCAACACCATTTTGATAACAAAAACCAAGATTACATTTTCCTCTAGCATTTCCACCCTCGGCTGATTTCAAATACCATTCAAATGCTTTTTTCTCATCTTTTTGTACGCCAACACCATTTTTATAGCAAATACCAAGATTACATTGTCCTTCAGCATATCCACCTTCTGCTGACTTCAAATACCATTCAAATGCTTTTTTCTCATCTTTTTGTACGCCAACACCAGTTTGATAGCAAAAACCAAGATTATATTGTCCTCTAGCATTTCCACCCTCGGCTGATTTCAAATACCATTCAAATGTTTTTTTCTCATCTTGTTGTACGCTAACTGTAATTTGAACATCTTCATACAAATTTTGCGGTCGACTGCTACCGATATTGTCGTCAACATTTACAGTATTTTGGGCCAAAAAAATCTCTTGAGCCTGTCTGGAAAAATCATAGTATGTTTGTTTGACGATTTGAGGTTCTTGTTTCCAAGCTTGAGACGCCATGAAAGAAACTTCTGACTGAGATATTTCTCGATCGTTCCGAATTTCGCGAAAATAGTTGGTTCGATAAATCATAAATGCATTAGGCGCCACTATAGGCTTTTTGTCTTTGCGATTCATAGTATTTAGTAATTCATTTACAGAAATGTCCGGTGGAAACGGAGGCAAAAATATATTTGAAATATTCATTTTGTTATTATTTTTTGTTCAAAAGAATTTATTTTGTCTAGACAAGTAGGATTACCGTTACTTTTGTTCCGTATCGGTATGGTGCTACATGTACATGTACGTCTCGGTATTACAGATGTATCACGACAGGGGGTGAAACCCGAGTTGCAAAATAGAAAAATCCGCTTTTATATACATGTACCGGTACTTCGGCTATTTATCTAAAAATAGAATATGGATACTTTTCCATGTAAGGAAATAAACTGTTACTTTCCGCTTTCCCATTCTTAAATATGTGAAATTTTTATTCGATTCAGACATATAAAATGCTTTGATTTCTTTTGACTTGGAAGAATGCAGTGAACACCTTTATATGACACATAATATTTGATCATGTTGATAAGTACGTACGTATCTTTCAATTAAAAAATAATAATTTAAGTGTAACCGACCGTACAATTTTTTCTAGAGGAATTTTGAACACATGACTTTACGGAATACATATAAAACATGTGCAACTTAAATACGTACGTCTGATATCGATATTCCTATCGCCATGGCAAACATATTCAAATATTATATCTCTATTTCTGTGGCAAACATCTTCAATTTTTTTGAAAAGTTCCTAAATGCTCAAAATCGGCTAAAATTTTTTTGATACCTTACCTATTACTTTCGAAACTAACATTTAATAAAGAGGGTGACATCGCAATACTTGAAGAAGAAACATATGGCGAGGTAGCTGCCCAAAACCAGCTATATTACAAATATGGTAAAGCTACCGATATACATAAAAATCGAGAATCCGCAAAAAATGGAAAAAGATGGTTTGAAGACTTTTCCTTTTTATCATGGCTATATTGGCGACTCTTGCTCTCACGTTCTCGGGTACTTAATGAATATATTCAAATAATTAAGCCGTTAACAAAAAGAAAGCATAGAGCGATAAATCAATCGAGACAAAAAGTTGTGTCGGCAAAGAGATGGAATAATAAACCAGAAAGCGCAAAGCAATTAAAAGAATTCAAATGTCATGGTTTCAAGTTCAAAACACAAGGTCAAGCGTAAAATTGGCCAGGGTAAAAGCGCGACGATTTGCTAAGAGACTTGAATCAGGTGGGCTAAACTTTTTTGAGATCATTAACACAGTACAGTCCATATAACTAACTCATCAGCTTTAATAATATTATTAGAAGAAAAAGGTGCCAAGAAATTACCTAATAATAGTGAAATTAGCTCAACGCATTCGAAAGAATTCGATCTATTAAAAATGTGGATTTATCTGTTGGAATGAAAATTGCTAATAATAGCATTGACGTTAAGCAGTGTATTCATCCTGCTATCGATGTTAACAATTTGCAAGCGCCGAAAATTGGAAACAAAAGCTCTCGAGTCTTGAAGATTAATAAAGCATCACAAATCAATGATATAACTATGCTATTCGCGGGATTAGAATTTGATAGAAATTTATCGAAGGAAGCGAGAGAGGTTACAGATCATTTCAACGATGATTCAATGATGAGCGCTATACATAGTGAAATAATTGTGGAAAAAGCACAAATTGAATGTGATATTGAACATTTAAAACCGACTGCTAAGTTAAGCCAAGCTATTGACGAAGCGTTAGAATCTAATACGCCAATCGAAAATCTAAATCGCGTTTTTGAAAAATATGAACATGTAGTTAGTACCAAAATAATTATTTGCGATAAAGTATTATTTCTAATGGAAATATTGAGCTTAATGATTCTACTCAAAAATTTGAGAAATTCTCTGAACTAGGTAGAAAAAATTTGTTTTTTATGAATATTTCTAATGATATCTTTTATTTAACAAATTGCTCTTTTCCAGACTTCTCGTCCTTTCAACAATCGTATTGGAATGATATGAATGATAATCATATTGAAATAAGGTTCTCTATTTTTAGTATAATAATTTCTTTATATTTAAAAATTATCCAAAGAATTTATTTCCTTCCACTATTCTAGTTACATTCAACAATGGCTTGAAACTGTGTCAAATGAAAACCTTCAGAGTGGCATGTTATCAGACGTGTTGTTATTCCATTATATAAGCTTCTTGATAGTAAGCGACAACAAAAGATTGAACATCTCTATAAAAAAGAAGACCGAGTTTTGATGAACAATGAGACTTTGCTTAATAATAATGTATCCAGAGGCTATCAACGAGTCATTTTTCGATGAACCATTGAAGAGTAAAAATTATCAAATATATGGAAATATCATAACTTCCGATGGAGAAAAGTTACCAGAAATTGTGGAGTTTAGTTTGAAATCGGATTTTGGATTTTCAGTAAATTGGAATGAAGAAAATGAAAAAAAATATAACGGGTAAAAAAATTGCGATAATACTTTTATCTATCAAGCAATTAACTATATATTTGTTTAGCCCGTTAAAATTGCAATGGATTTTAATTGGTAGCCCAAGCGAAGTTGGTTATTTTGATGCGAAAACTCGTGATTTCTCGGTAAAAACTGGTTCTACAGTTTTGCAACTTGATTCTAAGAGTATGGTCAAAACAGAATCTTATGATACAATAAATTTACATTATTCGTTTGCAAACACCTATGTCGGGGCACCGCTTTCGGAACACAATACTATTTCGATTGATATCAAGTGTCCGCCGTTTACTAAAATCGTTGATTACAAGATGGATGGTTCAGAACTCGAGATCCAAATAACAATAGAAGAAGATACGAGTATAGAATTAATAAAAAATAATGATCAATCTGTTGTTGATATTCGGTGGTGGGTTTTGGAAGAATTAGACAAGATAAAATAAGCTTTAGATCATGCATTAAGCCAACATTTATAAGGAGGAGGTTTCCGTTAATTAGTAGATTTTTCCCCCATTAATATGTACTTGTAATAATAACGATAATAACACGCAACTGAATTTTTGAGCAGTCCCTATTCTATATTTTTCTATTTTCATAAAAATTCACTCGCATACAGCAGCTTTTTTTACGAACCTGTTTTATCGCTTTTTTTAAACATCAATATCGCTATGCTTGACACACTTTGATTAAACTTTTTGCTTGTTTTTTTGCCTTTTTCATTTTTTTTGCTTACACTTGATTAGTTTAATCGAAAATTATGATTTCATTTTTTCGAAAATTATTTTGATTTCAATTACTGTATAACAATAAATTATACATGTGGTAACGGTAATATTACCGTGAATACGGAATACGGTTCTGTATTATTTAAAAATATAGCGTCAGAAAACAAGTTTACATTAATTCACTACAGGTATCGGTATGGTATAAATTATCAGAATTCAATAAATGTATTTTTTGTTATATTACGATTTATTGTTCAAGTTATTTTTAAATATTACTTGATGTGAAGTCATTGCGTTAAAATGAAAATTTCTAGCTGAATCCTAAAATAATTTAAATCTAATAACACTGATAATATGGTGTGAGATCTGTAGAAAGAAGTGAAAATACAGATATAATTAGATCAAAATCCTTTTTATTGCACTCGTCCCATCCACATGGACATCTGGCAGGCAGGGTGTGGTGTTGTGATTTTAATTAGTCAAGAAATCAACTAATACTTCTATAATATTTACCTGCTCAAAATTTTCTTTTAGGTATATACAAGCTAATTTTGCAACTTTCCACGCTTTGTAGTTAATTTTGTCACTATCGCTATGTAATTATCTTCTTGAGGAATCAATTACACGCAAATCAGTATATTAAAGACCAAAAACACATGTATTTCGATATTTATAATTAGTAAAGGTAATCATCGAAACCGTCCAAGCTGTTATTAATTCCTGTCAAGTTGCCAAGCTCAAGCCATTAATTCTGTCAAACATGTCTATCTTTCAACCAGCTCAGCACTCTAGTCGCATCAAATTGAGTTTCATTTTTGTAACATTCAAAAGAGATATCTTTATTTTAGAACTCATTATACTTTAATAAAATAGCTCAAGAGTACCGGTACGTATAACGAGAAGTTTTAAAATCGATCTTTTTAAAAATTGATACATGTTCAGTCAACGACCATGCAGATTCTATTGAATTTATATTGTTTACAATAGAATCTGCATGGTCGATTTTCATTGTCGATCCTTCCAAAAAACACTTTACTCAGAATAATTCTCTTCCTATAATTCTAAAAATTCAAAACTCATTGCTTTTTAACTTTTTGAATTTTTGTTTACATAAAAGCGATGAAAAATTTGCGAATACATAGTGATATTCCAGTTGAAATATTTTTGCGTTAAAAAATGAGCCACAATAAATTGAAAATAATTTCTGCTAATCAGCCGATTTTCGATATTATTAAATTAAGACAATTGCTAATTAAATATATTATGATTTCACCTCATTATTTTTAGTTATTCGATAATATTTCTGTGGAATTACTTTTGCGTTAAAAAATGAGTTGCGTTAATTTGTGCTGATCTATTTCCAAAAGTAGATCATGATCAGGACTATCGCTATCGCTATGTTAATTTATCGTTATTTAAGTAGATCTAACGCTAACGCGTAATTGAATACCCCCATCGCTATATAACGATAAGAACACTATATATAAGAACAACCTCCTCCATATAAGGGCACAATTTGTGGACCAAATAATTAAATCACTGTTTGAAAACAGATATATACAAAATATAAATTGTTATTATAGGTGCTCAATAGAACACTGAAATCTCCGTTTTGGAAGTAATCTACAACCACAGCTAAAAGTCTTTTCACATTGCGGACAACTGTTTAGAAAAAAGGCGGTGAATTATTTTCTTGGTGAGAAGTTGCTCACTACTTAGAATCAGAACTTTTCCCTTCAGGCGGTCAAATTTGATCACATTAATCTTTATATTATTGATTGAATTCTGTAACGAGTCTGCAAATTAATTTATATAATTTTGGGATCGAAATTGAATTTTTTGAATTATTTCCATATTGATATTATATTTCATCATTAACTTAATCAAATATGGTGCATAGCGATACCACTAGGAAGTGAAGCCAAATTTAGTCTACATATCGATATATGTATGCGTTTATTGTTATTGAGCCCTACTTATTATACTAGAATTTCCAAAAGTGTTTTGTAATCTAATTTTTATTTTAATAGAATAATTGCACCTCACACAATCATTCAAATGATTCTTTCCATTCTGATTTTGGTATTTCATTAATATATTACATTCTACTGGCTTTTCGTTGAGTGCATTCTAATTTTTAAACTATCTTCTAAAGTTAAAAATTTTAAAAAGAAATAATATTCAATCATCATTATTAATATTGTTGTCGGATTCGGTACATATTTTTTGTATAAAGTTCACACACTTGGTACTTCGAACTGTTTTCCTTCTATACACCATTTGCTTGTCAGAAGTAGTTCTTGTTAAGTAATCCTAGCTTATAAAACTTTATATATTATATTAAAATTTCTTACTTTAAAATTTATTAGAAAATAAATTACAAGCATAGGATGATTTTTATTGCGATGAATCATACAGACTAACACAACACATAGAAGTCATTTATCTCAAGTATTTGAGAAATTGCATGAATTCTTGAGTTTTGGTGTCCATTTATAACCGCTACTATCTAAACGTCTTTATCATTATCAATAAAACGAAATCTGAGACGTCTACGATACTTTATTTCGAGAACTCAAAACTTGTTTATGTTATTTGAAAAAAGTTTTTAACAGAGAAATCAAATTGCCCGTTTTTTGCAATACGTACATGTATGTTTACTATTTACATGTATTACGCGAAACTGGCTGTGATAATTGCACGGCATATCTTTAATCACCTGTTTTTCGCTTTTATTAATCACTCGTTTTCGCTTCCAAATTCGCTTTTGTTTATCATCCGTTTTTCGCTTTTAAGTTCACCTTTCAACATAATAGTAATGGTAGTAGTTTCACTTTTACAATTCGCTTTCAAATTCGCTTTTTATTTCGCTTTTGTTTCCCACCCATAGTATTTCCAATTTTATTTCTAATAATAATATATTAACGTAAACAGAGCTAGAACACTATCATATTATGTAATAAGCAAATGTATATATAAAGGCCCTCAATAACATCAATAAAAAGACAGAATTAAATTGCGTACAATTCTTCTCCAAGTAAAGTAGACTTGTAAAATTGTTGTAATGAATTGTGGTTAGGTCCTTTGATCCAAAAAAGGCATTGATATCATTAAAACGGCATATTGATTGATTGTAAAGCACTTTGTGAAGAATAGTTTAAGACTTTTAGCTAGAAAAAGAAATCATTGTTAATAAACACCTGTAAAAAAAAACAGACCATTTTTGACCTGGAAAATTTCTGATTTTTGAGTCTGAAAATTTCTGGAGTTTTATCTGTTTTTTAATATCCAACTTGAATCTGGAAATTCAATGGTTTTGTTAAAAAATTTCCAGAAGAACATCCAATACTTTCTGGAATATAGTCTGATATTTTATAAAAAAAGTTCCATCCAAATTCTACTTATATTCTGACATATAGAAATATAAGTGAAATTTGGACAGATCTTTTTTTATTTTTCTCGAATACAAGTGAAAGTTAGACAGATTTTTTTTATTTTTCTGGAATATAATCAGAATTCAAGTGAAAGTTGGATGAATCTTTTTTTGGGTATAAAAATTATATTTATTATTATAATTATTAGATATATAAATATAGAACATTTATAATATATAATATTTTATATATTTATATCTAAATATTTTATATATAAATTCTCTTATATTAATCAGAATTAATAGTAAAGGAGAAATATCAGAATTAATGATAAAGAAAAATATCAAGATAACAAAGAAGAAATGTCAAAATAATAATGGAAAATATCAGAATTATAGTGAAGAAATATTGGAATTATAGCAGAAAAATATCAGAATTAATGATAAAGAAATATCAAAATTAATGGTAAAGGAATATTGAAATTAATGATAGAGAAATATCAAAATTGTAGTAGAGAAATATTAAAGTTTTGAATTAAAAAAAATCAGAATATTGAATAAAAAAGGAGTAAAAATAAGAAAAAAATATTAAATAAAAAAATTAAAATATCAAATAAAAAAAATCAAAATATCAAATAAAAAAGAGTCAGAATATTAAATAAAAAAGAGTTTGAATATCAAATAAAAAGAGTTGAAATAATAAATAAAAAAGAGTCAGAATGTAAGAATACTTTTTTACGTGAAAAGTATTAAAATAAATTTATTAATTGCTATAAATAAATTATATCAATTGAGATAGTTTTTAGTTTTAATTTTAATAAAGCTTATTTTTTTATTTATTAAATAGTGAAGAACTATAATACAGAACAGAGACATTTAAATATATAATTGATATTAAACAAATTACAAATAAATAATAATAAAATAGAGAGTGATTGGTTCTAAATTATTAATCTTAAAGATGACACATCTCCAAGTTATGCTATACTTAATGAGATATGTATAAAATATAAATAATAATAAATAATAATAAAAGATAATTAACATGAATTAAAAATAATAAAAAAAAGAAAAGAATGAATAAAAAGAAAAGAATGAATAAAAAGAAAAGTAATTAAAAATAAAGTGTGTCTAAATTAATAATGTGATCTACATTTTATATCTAATCTATTTGGTGAAATATTAAGAAGCATTAAATATGAATCTGTGTTAATTTCTAACATATTATTCAAAAAATGATAAATATAACATGAAAATAATAGATATAATACAAGAAATTACAAGAGTATATGAAAATTATTACAATTACCCCCTCTCTTAAAAGTTAATGTTCACATTGAATTAA